GGGGGGTGAGCTAAGGCCTTCCCGGGATGGTAGAAATCAAAGGGCCATTAAAAGACTTAATCACCCGGAAGAGGGGGCCCTGGAAGAAGGGTGCATTTGAACCTTGGAGAGGGTTCGAAACCATTCGAACATGGTTAATTCTCCAGTATTCTTACCGGTTAAGGATACTTCAAGAAATTACTAGGTTACAGGTGTTCCATCTACAACCTACCGGTCATTTAAAAAAAAAAAAGAATACCCCAGTTGGGTATTGATACAGAGGAACTTTGAAAGTTCCACAAGGCGAAGCAGTTCACCGGGCAGACCATGGAGAAGGGACCTACCGGTCAAACTTTGCTTCACTTTCAAAACAAGGACGAAGGTGTTCAAAAGCCAAAAAGAAGTCTAGCCGGTCAATCATTCTCCAAACTGACCACCAAGTTGGAGTTCAACCGGTCAAAGTTACTCGAGCTGGCCCTTCAGATAAAGTAATCAAAGAGAACTTTGAAGTTCTACCGGTCGGAATTTCTATGATGGTATTCTAAGGAGCAATAACGAATTATCAACCAAGGAGTAAGCAGATATGGAAGATTAACCGGTACGAAAAACAAACATGGCATTCATGCAAAATAAGAATGTTAATTGTTTACAAATACACCGGGCATTCCCGGGGAAATTTCAAGTTTTCAAGTTTACAAAAGACGACCGGGCGCAGCCGGGGAGAATTCACTGCAAAGGGAAAGGGGGTTCAGGTTCTTCATCAGGGATGGGGGCCAGACCGTATGCTTCAGCAGAAAAGGCCGGGTCACGTTCAGTCAAGATTGCGTGTGTAGCCTCCCGGTCTCTTTTCTGCCCATACATGAAGCCGTAGGAGCCTATCTGCGTGATCATCTCCTTTCCCTGCTCCTCTCAGTAGATCAGCTTGAAAGCCTCCACCGTCTTCTCCTGGTCAGAGGTGATTACTCGGGCGACCTCCTCTAGGTTATCCCCCATCCATCGGCGAGCACGGCCGGGGAACTCTCGCTCCTTTGACTCCAATTCCTCCATCAGCTTCAGGTTCTCCTCCTTCAACTGGAGAGCCTCTGCCTTGGCCCCGGTTATGGGCCTCAGATCGCTTCAACTTCTCTTCCAGCTGAGCCAGCCAGGAGGAGGAATCTTCGGTGAGTTGCTCCAGGGTGTCGGGCCTAACTTCGCCCATCTACATATTGGAAAGTGTACCGATTAGTACAATGATCGAGTGACAAATTCAAGAGAGCATACCGGATAAGTGTTACCTCTTTCAATTTAAGGGTCAATTTGACCCAGAGCTCTTCCAGCCGGGTGGTTTTCTCCCCTTCTCTTCTTGACCGATGGATGGGTGGTGGCCGCATGCTTCACTCTCTTTTTCCCTTTTCCCTTGTTGGGGGAGGGATTCGTCGGTGCCTTGCCAGTCTGGGCAGATCCCCCGGTCAAAGGGGCTTCCTCCTCGGAATGAACTTCAATTGTCTCCTTCTGGACCGGGACAGTTTTGGGGGCAGAGGAAGAAGAACCACCGGTTGTCTTCAGCATGTTGAACGCCCTGAAATTCATGTCTACAAAACAAGCAAAAACAAAAATGTTCGAACTTCGACCAATAGAACTAAAGCAAGAAGAAAGAGGAAGGAAAGATACCTGGGTGGCTGGGGCCCCTGGCCTCTGCAGTGTTGCCCGGGGCGGGTACCCCGTGCCCCGCTGCTTCATGAGCCATAGGGGTACCCTGGCCACCCGGTTGGATCCGCCAGATCCAAGCCCCGTAATGAAACATTTGCCCGATGAACGGGTCCCCTCGGAGAAGCTTCTCTAAACTCTCTTCCAAGTCTAGGGCGGTGGCCGGCTCGGTAAATTGCGGCTTCAGAATGTGGTCATTCCATGGTATGCCGGCCAAAGGAGAAACCGTAGGAAATTTTATGAAAACGAATTTTTCCTTCCACTGCCGGTTGCTTTGTGGAAGGTCAGAAATGAATTGGCGACCGTTACGGCCTTTGAAATAGACATAGCCGTCGCAACCCGACTTACCGGGAAGAACTTCAAACAAGTAGAGAAAAAGGCGAAGAGATGGGTCGATTTTAAAATGAGTGCAGATATTTGCAAATGCATTGAGGAAACGGTGGGCGTTGGGCGTAATTTGCCCGGGAAGAATCTTAAAGCAGTGGCATAACTCAACCAGAAGGGGACGGAGGGGGAAGACAGTGCCACTTTCCAGAGAAATGATGTGGAAACCTACCCTATCATCCCGGTGGGGCTCAATAATGTTGGGCCAATTGGGGTCATACTCAAGAACATACCCATCCGGAAGATTCCTACGGGCTTTATTTTGAGCAATCTTAGAGACCCGGGGATAGATGTCTAGCGGGTAGCTGGAAGGGAGAGGAAAGTAACCGGCTGCATCCAGCCGGTCCACCCATGCCTCATATGACTCGTTGTCAGGGTCATAGGGGGCCGGCTCATCTTCGACCGGTTCACCCCTCTCCTAGGTAACCTGACCGGGCATCTGGTTGACTGGTTGCGGTTCAGGAGCA